GGGATCAGAGCAATTTTTTATGATTATTTAGTAGATTGTGAATTTGAGTGGATATTAAAACAAAGATCTCATTGATGAGATTTTAAATTTAGCAAAAGCTGATATTGAAGCTGCATGATTAAAATTTTTCTCATCTGATTTCAATCAGGATAAATTGTAGAACCAAAATAAAGGAGATGATAAAGTTTTAGAAGAAACGAAAGCCTTTAAGAGAATTATTTAATAAGATTAAAATAGAATTGATCAAAATTTTACAAGCAATTAATTTTAATAGAGTAAATGAAATTTTCAAAATTATAATTAGAATAGTAATCATAGAAAATTGAACTAAGATTTTGGTAATTAACAGAGCAATAATGTAATTTTAAATGTCTAACATCCTCATTAAAATCATGAATCAAATGGGAATTAATTTAAGCAGCATTAATTGGATTCGAGTTAAATGATTCAATCTACAAATGCTAATAATGTGCTAAACAATTTACCTCAAAAGAACTCAATTACAATGCAGGAGGAAAATGATAAAAGAACATAGAAAAAAATCAAAGAACTAGAAGAGCAAATTTGGTTTCTTAAAGAATAATTGGAAATTTCTGGATGCCTTAAAAAGTTCGGGATTGAAAGGTATTAAAAGAAAATACAATAATAATAGAATGCGTAGAATAGTTAATTCCCTAGACAGTCCAATCCTAATGATTTAATTGAAGGTTAAAGTAGCTTTAATTTACAAAGAAACAGATCTAATGAGTTACATCATGAATCTGTTGTGCTACCATTTAGACACAATAGTTTAGAGCAATTTTTAGAGCGATATGCCAGGTCGGATGAAATCAATCATACCATAGCAGATGACTCTTTAAAAACACAAATGAATTATTACGAACCAGGTTATGAATCGGATAATAACCCTTCGAAATTAAATTAGCCAAAAGTAAAATTAAGTATTGCAAATCCTTTTATTGAGGAATCTAAAATACTGGAAAACTAATCAAATGATCCCTAGAATAATACTGAATATGGTGAGTTATTTAACATGAGTTAAGCGGGGATAATTAGCTCAGATCAGTATATTTTATCAAAGGAACCTAATTCAAATGAAAAGCCGAGAAGAGTTGGCGAAAAAGAGTTAATTAGTCGTTCAAGTTAGGTAGAATTATCAAGATTTAGTAAATAACTGTCGAGAAATGTGTGTCAGCTGAGCAATTAACAGAAATAAAATGTTATCTGCTATAATGATCATGATAATAAGATTATTGTGGGATAAAACGATAATAAAATATTAATTCTTGACTCAGAGATGTAAGTTGAGAGGTCTTTGCCACTTGAATCAGAGCTAATCTCTATATTAAAACTTAATGAACTATTCTTCTTTGGGATGATGGAAAAGATAGTCATTGTCTTTGGAAAAGATTTAAAGGAAGTGGTTAAGCGGATTGAGACAAGAGAGTGTGTGTACAAATTTATTTATTACCAGCATTAAGATCCAAATCTAGACTTTTCTAAAGAATATTTAATCCTTTTAGAAAAGGAAGGCTTCATCTAATTCTTTAGTTTCTAAGAACAAAAGATAGTATCAACTCGATAGCTCAAGAGCTGAATGAGAATATAGGATGGATTACAAGTTGAGAAGACAAACCAATTATGCTTGGCGATTGCAGAGATTGTTGATAATACCTATCATACTGGACATTTATCATTCATAGATGTAATAATAAAATAAGCATATCAACCTTCTCAAGAAGAAAGCTTAGTTGATATTCAGATATGGGAACAAGACTAAGAAATATACTTGCCAGGTCGTGCAATATTAAATGTTCAGCAGATATCTAATGATCAATTCATAGTTAGTGTTTCTAATTTTAATTTCAAACTAATAAGTAGATCCTAGCCTTATTAAATCAAAGAAATACCAAATCCTTCATAGAGTATAAGATAAAATTCATTAGTAAAGATAAATGGTTTCAGTGATAAACGACCATATTTGATTTACAGAGATTCTTGTTGCATTGGAGTGATCAACTGTTAAACAATGAATGCTAGATCCATCAGAAGTGGAATAG